GTACCTAAAAATTAGAAACTCCTGCCCGTGTGGTATCTAAAATCCATAGTGAGATATCTAGAGTCCTTATCCTTGCATATCCTGGAATCCTGATCCAAAAAAACAGAATCACCAAAAACTTGTGTGACAAATGTCTAGGTAGGCATTTGAGACTATGGAATGCTCAACCTGAAAACCTGAGTTTTCTTGGAAGTCTTTGGTCCTGAAGAGCCAGATTCRGAGTCTTTATCCACTCAGCATTCAGTGTATGCTCCAGGGGGCAGAGAACTGCTTGGAAGAGCCGAGCAGGGCTCTTCTTTAAAGGGCACCTCGCTGGAGGTATCGTGGTGCTTTATTCATTAATTTAGTGCTTCAGGGAACTCTCTCAGGCAGTGAGACCTGTGGTCCTGAATGCCTCCTTACAGCTTTGGCAAAGCCTGGGAGAGTGTGGAGTGGGAAGTGAGCTTCCACTGGAAAAAGGGGAAGAGCTACAGTATAGATTATGTTATTTATGGGACTAGAAGAGAGTGCAAGCAGGATGATGCCACTGCAGACTTAAAATTRAGGCAGTAGCCCAGCTGCTTTCCAGTCACTGTGCTTGTAAGGGARAAAACTGTGTTCTGAGGGGCCGGAAGGCAGCCCAGGGCACTGCTCAGCCTTGGGCTCAGCATTAAYGATCCCTCCGGTGCGTGGGTTCTGCCTGGGTTGTTTCACCACTGAGTGACTTCCAGGTCATGTTTGCTGTTCACATTAAGCAGTGTGAAGGCTTTGATCTCTCTGGGTCTTGGACAGGACATTGCCTTGATCCACTTTCTCTGGGCAGATCTGGGGGTGTAAGCAGAGGACAACTGTAGGGACCTGTGGCCCCTAATGTCCCCATAGTAGCCTGTGGTATCAAAGGCTTGCATTGGGAAAGACTGACCAGGAATTTAAATGTTACAGCTCTGGACTGAAGTATCAGTTTAGGTATTTCTGTTTTGTCCATTTAGATGCAGATTTCAATATTTTTTTTTTTTTTTTTTTTTTTATTTTTTTTATCTAAGAAGCACAAGTTCTTTTGTGAAATGCAAAGCTGTCCTCTATCTGAGTAGGATCAAGGTGCTCCTTTTCCTGGTTGCTCCCTGGTTCCCACATGCAATATTCTGCACCTGCCTTGGAGTGGTCACATACCCATGTGGTCACCTTCATCACTTTTCAATTTTGCCTTCCTTCACATTAACATTTACTGCTCTTTTTACAGCYGTCTCTGCTCTGAATACCCTGGAAAGCCTTCTAATGCTAATTGCTTCCAAATAGTAATTGTAATTTTAATGGCAACCTCAGTAAATTGTTTTTATGTAAATTGCAGTTTAATATGAATCTTAGAGAACAGTGATAGTTCTTCTACTCCTTCTACTTATTAGACACATGAATAAGAAGCTYCTAAGATCTCTAAGAATCCCTTCTAGAGAACCTTGGGGTTAACAGGAGTTGTAGAGATAGCCAGGAGTCTTACTAGGTGCAGACATAAAATGGGAAACCAAGAAAGATGAAAGATTAGGATGAAGGGACTGTTTGAAAGAGAGTTAAGCACAAGATGGTACAGGGCAGAGGAAGCCCTATTAAAACTTTAGAAACATCTCTGGATAAAAGAACCAAGTGCTTGGCTGGCTCCTTTCTGCTCCTTTTCCCAAGGCTGAACAGGAGCTGAGTCCAGGGCTGCTGCAGCTATAAAAATGGTGAGCCAGGGACGGGGAATTCAGGAGATAAGAAGTACTAAAGTGGTTGCAGCTTAGGCTACAACTTAGGACCTTCTTATTTCATTAAGGTTGATCTAAAATCATCTCGTGTTGCATTCAAGTGTTGGATGCCCRGTAGAGGAGCTGGGGATCCATATGGAGGCAGGTGGGTATCAGCCAGCTCATGGTTGCTGCCCCGAAGTTCCTGCACATGTTACAGCAGAAGCCGCCTGCCAGCAGCCAGTTTTGGGGAATCCTAAACTTGCAGATGTTGGGAGCTGGAAATAGCTCAGCTCGGAGTCTGCAGGAACTTGGCAGCAGCTGCGAGCTGCGTGGTGCGGCTGAGATCTCCAAAATTGGCCCAAGGCAACGCAGGTTTCAGAGAGGAAACAACATGGATGGGGAAATGGTGGTGGGCAGGATGCTCAGCGTGTGCCGGGCTGCAGGGCTGGGTTGTCCAACTCTATCCCAAAACAGCCCAAGGGAGGAGGGAGCACAAGAAAGATCTGCTTACACAGACCTTCCCAAAGGGTTGCTGGCRGGAAAAGCAGCTCTGGATTAGCTCCATTTGCTCCTAATGTAGTCAGTACCTAGMAAGAGCCAAACTTCTGCCTGTCTTAATAATTTAAGCTTTGCAAAACAGGAGCGGGGTGATATTTTGACGTTATGTATTACTGCTGTGTAAGTAATCTCCAAAAACATTCTCAGTATTCTTAACTATACTTACCACAAGACGTAGGAATAATTACATTGTACTTTTGTAATAAAAACTAAAGCACAAAGTGTGTTCTGGTTTGTAAATTTTACATTAAAACATGATTAAAAAGCTTGGGAGAAGCTAACTTTAATGAGAAGCATTTGTTTAGACAGTCATATTTAATTCAGATGTGGTTGATGCAGATCTTGTGCTCTATGCTCGTTTGGGTTTTAAAAGGTAGAAATGCTTTGTGTAATGCGATAATAAATATGCCAGAGTCAATGGCTAGAAACACGTGTATCAAAATAGAAAAGGCAATTGGCAAATAGCTAAATCTAGCAAGTTAAAACCACAGGTARGTTAAAAACACAAAACAAAAAACCTAGTCCTAGTTCAGAGGTGACGTGTGCAGGAATGTGAACCCTGGGTAGATAACAATTGTGCAAAGGATATGAATGAACATAAGTATCGAGGTGGATTTATGAACAATGTACATCTCATGCAGTTTTCATTCAAAATAGCTTTCTTTGCTGTTTATGTTTTTATTGATTTTGACTTATGCTGTATTTTTGAAAAAGATTCATTAACCTCACTTTTGGTTTTTAAGGTGCTTATATTCACAGTGCTTTTTAAATCTGTAGCAGCAGTTACTGTGTTTTGGATCGTTAATGGAAAACATGTATATGATTCTGAGCAAAGGGCTGTAGAATTTGCTTTATTGACTCTTGGTTATTTGTAAAGAATTCTTTATAATGTATCATTGAGCAAGTTGTTGTCTGTTTGTGTTGGTATGCCATATTTAGAGCCTCTCCACAAAATATTTTTTTAAAAAGTAAAATTTGGTAGTTGTCTTCTAGGCACAAAATTACCATGTAATTACTCTGTAATCACATAGTAATTAGAGTATGCTATTCATATATTACATAATTACATGCCCTGCAGATTACATGGTAATTATATTTGTACTTAACATATAATTCKCTATACTGTATTATGGGAAAAAGTCTTCCGGAGTTCACAGTTAAGATTATAGTTATGTGTTAATGTAATACAACATTCTATGTAACAGTGTTAGGATTTTATGAAAGTGTTGTATTTTGGATAATCTATTTCTTTTGGATCGGATGCTACTTAAGCTGTGGAAAACTAGTATAAGTGCTCAGATTTGGTAATTTATAGTAAGATGCTGCATCTTTTTAGCTTTGTAATTTGTGACAATAATCAAACAGTTGCAGTTTGTTGTGCAGGAAACTGATATTGGGAAGGACCTAGAGTGTGAATGTTAAATATACACAACTTAAATATTATAACCCCCTTAATATAGTTATGGCATGTTGCTAGAATGAGAAAAAAAATCTTATGTATATCACTTATGGTGTGGGTCATTCCTAGARGTATAAAATAATGTGAGACAATAAATAGCAAGTGTCATATTCCTGCCAGTGTTAGGCACTGCAGCTGCAGTATCTCTGAGCACCGTGCTGGCCAAGCCACAGTATCTTTCTCTTCCATGAGAAAGGGAAAAGTTTTCCATCCTGATGTGCAATGTGGCAGAGGAATGGAGAGGAGGGACACTGAGGTATAAAAGGGTCTTCAATTGAGTTTTTGGAATAGGAAATTATTTCCTGTTTAGCAGGAGGAAGTTACTATTTTCTTGGACCTGTGACATTTGCATTCCGAATATCCACAACAGCATTATTATTAACTGAATATAATGAATGCATATATTGTTCATTTAATGTCTGGATAATATATTATACAATTTAATCTGTAATTAGTCTTACCWTTTATGTGGATATTTTTCCTATAACTTGTAATTTGTCACCTATGTGTGTGTGTATGAAAGAGAGAAAATATTCCTTGTTCACGTGTATTTCTTTTAACAGTCACTTACTAATTTTATGCCAGCTTCTTCAAAGCTTCTAAACTTCATAAATACCTCTAGGTTCAGGTGATAGAAGACTTTATAGGAGTATCTTGAACAAAGCATGAATTTTACAGGCCTTTTGGGTGGCATTAGCTCACATTTGTGGGGCTGCACTGCTTACCTTTCTGGCTGTGTGGGCTGCTTGGTACCTCAAAAAGCTGTAGTAGGAGGCATATGGCTTTTATATTCTGCAGAGTACACAAATTAAATTTAAATGTTATGCAGCTCTATGAAGACTCAGAATGCCATTTCTACTGTGCAAGGGAAAATTAAAACACCAGAGGGTAACTGGTTCGCAAACCCAACGTGAGGGACCCATGTTGTCACTGTGTGCTCGTGCAATCGGCCAAATGTTTCCCTTCCAACTTACCCATTATTTGACAGCTTTCTCGTGGGACCAAGTCTTGCCCAATATTCACCCTGGATGTCTGCTACAAGGCCRATAAACCACAGCCTGCTTTGTGTAATCGCATTCGTTTGCCTGTGATCTTAACACGTGCTTGTGTTCATGCTCACTTGCTAAACCATTACCCAGAGAAACACAAGCACTGGTCACAGTCTCTTGGCACTGGGAGTTTTCTGTGTAATCAGGATCTCATTAACACTGAAATAAACACGAACGTCAAAGCACAGTGTAAATGTGACGCGTTTCTTACTGCTGTTGTGTTGTTTTTTCTAGTGGAGCCAATGCTTTCAAAGGGGAACAATTGCTTGGATGCAGCAAAAGCCTGCAACCTAAATGATACCTGCAAGAGGTACAGATCTGCTTACATAACCCCCTGCACCAGCAGCACGTCTAATGAAATCTGTAACAAGCGGAAGTGTCATAAGGCCCTCCGGCTGTTTTTTGACAAAGTTCCCCCCAAGCACAGCTACGGGATGCTCTTCTGCTCCTGTCGAGACGTAGCCTGTACAGAAAGGAGACGGCAGACTATTGTTCCTGTGTGTTCATATGAGGACAGGGAGAAACCAAACTGCCTGAATTTACAAGAATCCTGCAAGAAGAATTACATCTGCAGGTAAGATAGCACATGGCAAGGGAATGATTAATGAGGTACCAGAAAGAACTTTTTGGTACTGCTGGAATCGCCGGACGGAGGGGTCARAACATCCACTAGGGAGTAGGAGAAGTCAGGGAAAAAAGCGAAAGCCTGTGACACCTTGAACAGGAGAACAAAAGCATCTGGTTTCAGTGTGTGCCTCCTCCAAAACCAGCCACAACTACTCACACTCATTATGGAAGAACTTTAAACCCCCAGGCAAGATACCCAAGCAGAAATCTGTTTCTTACAGATTTTTGCTGGAAACCTTTTGCTTATGTGTTTCCAYGAAATGGTATCTCAGAATGATTCTTATTCCCTGCTAGTGACCAGGCAAAAATAGAATTATTCATTAGAGTGGGGTTTATTTTTCCTTGTAGCCTYGACTGTGAGCACCAGTAACTGTGTGTGACCACAAGCGCCCCGTGGAGCTAAACATATATCATCATAGTGCACAGGTTGTTGGCGGGGAAGAGGAGGGGTTCTTCATGGAAAGGAAAGGATTCCACATTTGTGAACTAGCTTCTATCTTAAGAGCTATTTTAGACTGTTTTTTTTAAATCCTCCCTCCCCTGTCGAAAGTGCTTGGCTGCTCCAACTGGAGGGTCATCGATCCAGCGACCTAATTCCCAGCCTTTTTTCTGCTCTTGAGGCTCACAGAGCGTGGCTTCTAGGACCACCCAGGTCCCTGGCTTTTACAAGGTCCCCACAAGTTGTCACAGCCTCCTTATTGGGTGGCAAGCAAGAACCCTGTGTGCCCTGGGGAGGTGCTTTGGTCCTAGTTAGCACTGTCTATGCTTATATAAGAATGTTGTACTAATGTCATGTTATTAAAGTTGAGAAGTTTTCAAGTTGCTTGTGGATCATCAAATTCTGTGAATTAGCAAGGGAAAAAAAATCCACTGTTTTGGATTTGTTAAGGACAGTGAAGTTATGTTTGTGTACACCTTGATAAATAGCTACCGTATGTGCCTTGTAAAAATCTAGATATTTAAATATGAGATCCCTCCTCCTGATCTTAGACTTTATAGCATCTTCATAGGTACTGCTATTACAGTTTATGTAAGTCTATGTACGTTGGGACTCAGAACCACCATTTTGCATTTCCATGTTGTGCCATTAGTTATTTTGCTTATAGATACTGTCTTCTGTATGTACACACCCTTTTAAGCATCAGAATGATATTATCTTAACTGTGTTTCCTGGAAAAATTCCAAATTATTACAGTGCCAATGAAATGGAGGAGAGGATTTTATAGGGAAAGTTCTTCCTGCTACTYAAACTGTAATGGTGTCAGGAATTCTTTAGCTAAATTAATGCCACTACTTCTCTTTTGATTGTATTTTCTGTTGGTCAGCTTTGCTCTAATGTTATCTCAGCAACTAATTTTTTAATGTCATTTTATCTAATTGGACTTTATGAGTCTTGCACTGAGACTGTGTTTTTTCCATTCCAAGACTGCAGAGGAAAAATGCCTGCTTGGTACAATGTCTATTCCTGGTGTCCAGAGCTGCAGCAGGCGCTGGGGTGAAAGGGATTGCTCTGTAGGTTCTTGCTGTGGCTTCTTTTCTTTGGATGCTCCTTCACGGCTCAGAGAGGCCTGGCTGTCAGGAAGAGGGACAGCAGAAGCACAAGGAAAGTGGTTGTGGGAATAGCAGATACACCTGGAGATACAATAAATGTGATGTGTTGCAGAGAGTCTTCTTGGGTGGACATTAATACCTTCGAGGTTGTCTGAAGCACTGGTGTGTTTAGTGCCTCTGTCACTGCCATCATGGGGAGGAGAAATCAGCCTCAGGGAGAGTCAATCCGTGCACTCACAGGGAGACATTTGTGATTTTTCCCCTTGGTTTGCAGGAAAGCAAGGTCTCGAGGAGGAGGAGGAGGAAAGGAAGGACAGGAATTTCAGAAATATTTAGAGTAATGAAAAGCAGTAACTACTAGACACATAATTTAGATTCTGATAACTTCAATTTTAATTTTGAAATCAAAAAGAACACCTAAATGAGTAAATAACTTGTGAMTGTGTTTTGACTACTACGAAATGTAGTCATTTAGAAACCATTATTTGCTTGCCTATTGCTACCATTATATCTTTTTCTTAATGCTAGTTAAGTGGGATAAATTCTAATGGGTCTCTGAAAGTGCTCTCTCATGAACACTACTTATTCAGAAAAGCAGATTTGACTCTGCCCAAGCTCATGTATAAAATATCCCGTAGGCCTATGCAAATGTGTATGTAAACCTTCAGTTTTGCATGCTCTTTAAAAGCTTTGCCCTGCATGCACACATCACTGAACCTGTTTCAGAAAGAGATTTTTCAAGGGGGAAGCAATTCAGCTAAATGGCAGGTATCACCAACTTATTTCTGAGTTAGTTGGACACTTTGCTGATGATTTTTTTTCTATACTGTAACATAAATTCTGGATCGAGGGTAAAAGGGACCAGAAATGTCAAGAAATGCAAATAAGTTCTTATATAAACGGTCCTAATTTTTGAATTTCATCAAAATACCGAATGGTTTATTTCATTAGCGTTTTTCTCCTGCCTCTCCTTGTATCCCAGTCTGTCCAGCTTTGGGAAGATATTGGAGTCTCTCAGGTGTAAACATAGATAGCCTGTCAGTGCCAACTGAAAAAAAAAGGCCAAAAAAAGAAGCAGTTAGACCTTTTTTTCCTTTTTTTTTCCTTCCTTGTTATAGACATAAACAACATTTCTAAGAAAAGTCAGTGAACTGTCAAATACTTTCATGATCTATGTCATCCTGGAATAGGTCAAACGTCTGACTTCTATTCTGATTGCTTCAGCCACCACTTAAACAACCAAAGTTGACTGGCATATTTTAAAAACACTGTTCTGCTGTAAATAGAGTAGAATACAGGAAATGTAGGATAGTGTGTGTGCTTCATTTTTTTTTCCAGTGAAACATTTGACAGTATTTCAGAAGACTCTTTTCTTTGAGTATTGAAAATGTGAATCATTAGGTTGGTCTTAGTCTTGAGTTTGCATATATTCTGTGTCTTCTGAACACAATCGTAAGAAGCTGATCAGAATAATAGTGATACAGACCCATTATTTATTAAAAGAACAGAGGAACTGGACAGTATCAATAGGATCATTTGATGTAAAGATCTGAAAGGAATAAGACTTTTTTGTTGTTGTCAACTAGTCATCTAGTCATAGRATGAAAGTTTCTTGTCCCCCTTGGTGACTATGTTTGAAATGATTAGTCAAAGCATTTTGGCTCATTTTKAGTGTGAAAAAGGCAGATAGGTTCCTGGCTAATTTCAGAAAACAGCCAGTAGAGCTTTTTTTTTTCTTCTCAGCTAAAATGAATATTCCAAAACATTTGCCTTTAATTTTGCAGTTACTGCATGTCACTGACTACAAATACGTGGTATTAAAAGCATGGTAGATAAAATATTTTGCCATGTGCTATCTGAAGAACAGTAGTGAAACACCCTGTTAGTTTTCAGTGGAGGTGTCATTGCACTGAAAACTCACTATAGAGATTTTTGCTGCTAGGTATTTGGAGAACCACATTTTTACAGATGTATTTTCATTGGCACATTCTTATATACACTTTTGATTCTGCTGTCAACATCTGGTCACCAGTGTCTGCCCAGCTGTGTTATCCAGTCTTACTTTTTGTGTAACCACCTATTCAATGCCAGCTGCATCTAGAGGTATAAGAGGTGCAGACATTTCTGTCATTGCATAAAAGAATCCAAGCACAGTAAAGYCAGAACAAAAACACTCAACTGCTTGCTGTGTTTTCTTAAAAAGTGAGAAATCACTTTTCCTTCTTTATACTGGACATTTTTAATGATAATCTGCCACGAGGAGGTACCATCTCTGTGCCTTTTTGTAAAAGTGTTTTTTTCTGTGTAATGATTCTGGGCAGTCCTAGAATGTTGTAGTCCAGCAGGAGAAACATACCTTTTGCTTAAAGTTTTCTATTCCTTAGACTCTTTCATTTTTCTCACTTCTTCCCTTGCTTTCCTCGCCTGCCTCTCCCTTTGCTTAGTCTCCTTTCATCTCCTTTTTTTTCTAGATCTCCCAGTCATTATCTGACTTTTAGTGCCTCTCTGGCACATTTGAATTCCCTCTMTTATATCCACTTCCAGTCCCCCCACCTGCTCTCCTGTGTGCTCTTCTTTTCCTCCCGTAATATCCTGCCACAGCCCAGTGATCATCTGTAATTCAGGAGAGGAAAGGAAAAACATCGGAGCAGCCTCCCTCCCCGAGCCTTGCAGCTTATGAGAGCTACAATTCAGCTGGCCGGCAGCCGAGGTTGACTGCTCAGTCTCAGGCCTGCTCTAGCTTTAGGTGTTAAAAGCACCTTTCCCRGATGTTTTTATGAAGGATACGGGAGCTTTATACACGTCTGTAGAGCAGAGCTGGAGTTGCATCCTTGAAGGGTATCTGCATGAGCTGTCTGGCAGCTCCTTCCCATGATTTGTGTTTCTGCGAGTATACAAAAGCAGGACGACAACACAGCTTTTGTAATGCTGTTTTAAGGACATGGAAACAGGGGCATTCTGGATGTTTGGAGACAGGCAGGCTGTGTCTATATTGTATTTCAKCTGACTGAGTCAGGGAGTGGGCGAAGGGCCTCGCGTGCGGCCTGGCTCGCCCTGCGCTGGGTGCAGGAGCCRCTGGCGTGGCGGGTTAGTCAGGGCCCAGACCACCTACGACTAATCCTCTCTGCTCGTCACATCGGGGCCTTGTGAGCTAGGGCACCGTGGCACCGAGTGGGAGAGGAGGAGCAGCGTAAAATGGCAAATTATGCGGTTCATAAAGTGTAGCTTGCTGACAAGCTCACCACGTGTCTGTGAGCATGGCCTTAAATGGGAAAAGGACGGCTTTTATATATATATGTGTATGTATGCATAGCTAGAGGCACYGTATTTATTTAGAAAAACAAATATGTTAATTCATTTTAATGAATTAGTAGGGAGGGATGATCACAGTTCCGA